TTCCATACATAATGTACTTAAAAGTTTTTATCGTTAAAGAAACCTTCTAAACAACTATATACAACGTTTTAAAACACCCCTAATTAAGACGCGGTCTTGTCTGCTGGTCAGACGCAGCACGTTATTTTCGTGTATCGTAAGTCATTCAGCGTCCGCCGTCTCGCCGCCCAGATAATCTGTTTCAGTCTTGCGACCATTTAATGAACTACTGACCATTCTCAAAAACTAACTGACCAGAAGAAATCAGTGGTCAATTTTTCAACGTATTTGCACACATAATCCGCAGTAAAACCAACACATTACAAGATTAGACGTAACTTTTCGTTTATTCTTACCAACATTTCTGATATATTTAAGTCTGTCGGTGATTTTACCCCGATTATAACAATGCTCTTATCTACCCGAATATTACCCAATCAATGTGCCATTAAAGAACGAACATCGGGTCACTTATGAGAATACGGGCAGAATTTCAATTGTACCCATTCACAATACATGTAATATTATAGAGATTGCTTTATTTATTTAATGAAAAATATAAACTCTGGCACTAGAAAATATTTTTGAAGCGGAATGATGATCTTGTCTGTTCATTTCAGTTTATCTCACCACATCGCAAGCAAATACAATGTACATGTTCCCAATGACGTAATTTACAAAAAAAAGTAGGAATATAATAATCCCCGACTCCATCGATTCCCCGTCTCAGTGATGAAATTTTCACAAGTTTTCTGGCTAAATTTTCTTCTGAAGGTGTTAAGTCATTTTGAGGAAATTCCTAAAACTTGTGAGACTCATTGATTTTTGCCCATGTTAATCTGCGGCAGGCACGCTTTACGGCCATTTTTCATGGTAATTAACTAATAATCTAATGAAAATTGTCTAGTTTATTTACACTAGCAATGACCTGGAAGGGCCGCCTTTGTAAACATTACCACAATACACAAGTTTACGCCAGCTGTTTCGAGCAATCTGGGCTCCCCGGCCACGCCCCGAACGTCTGCCTGGGAAATATTCCATCTGAACGAAGAGGATTTCAATGGTTATGCAGCTATTACGTCGACTCGGATGTTGTCGACGAAAATGTTTTTCTTATTATTATTTTCATTATTATCATTATTGCTATTTATCATTATAATTATTTATCCCATCCATTTGTTTCATATATACGATTAGATTCAAAATCTCCGCAGCACTGCAAAAGTCATAAAGCGTCTATCAAACTCCACTTGCAAACGAAGCCAGAGTAACTTTAAGCCTGGACCGGAACATTCATGCGACCGACCCTAACCATTTACAAGGGCTGTTACTGTTGTGGTATGTATTTTGGTACAACACCGACTTAGCCCCTAAAATAAAGCCAAATAGAGTTAAATATGATTATATGTTTAGTAAGAATGGGTTTTTTTTAAATCCTTTTCAGCAATACAATTTTCGGGTAGCAATGTATGTTGTGGGTATAGGTAGCGGCAGGGCAACAGTAGTAGACACTATATTATTTTAGCCTTCTTTTTATTTTTCTTTTCTTTTCTTTTTTTATTGAGTTGTACGTCGCACCAACGGCGACATTCCAGCTGGTAGACCTCAGGTGCCCTTCTGTACATAGCTTCACAATATCAACATTCGCAATGTTTTTGTTTTTTTTTTGTCTTCAGGTCACCTCAAGAGAGGTCAGGGTTTTTCATGGCTCGAGTTCATGATTCAACATAATTACAAATTTAAAATGCCTTAACCGACGTTTTTTCTAAAGATTATAACATAAATATTTTCTTAAATATAAGAACTAGATTTAATTAAATCAGAATACTGAATCATTTTCAATAAACAAATTAATATAAAACCGTATGAAAGTGTATGCCATAGGCGGATTAAAAACGGAAAATTCCTATGACATTCGCGTAATACTATCTTAAACAAATTAAAATGCAGTAACATCGTCATTTTATTTTTTATTAAAGAAAAATTTCAGTAATATTATCGATTTTTTTATTTCTTTTTTTATATAAAAATGCCATAAAATTTCTCTAAAAGCTTCATACAATTGATAAATAATAAACTTAACAGCTACATTCTTGGATTCGTTATGATTTTTCTATTAAAAAACAAAAACAATAACAGAATATTGCTTGAGTCAATCAATAAATGTTTCTTAAATCGATAGCATACTGTTAATAAATTAGGTTTTACATTTCTAAAACATATAGAAATGTTTCTTAAGTCATTAAGACATTTCTAAAACTGGTAATGTATATCAAAAATCAATACGATATTTCTACAATCAAATATCGACAGAATATATATAAATACCGATAAGATCTCTTTATCTTTAATTTATTATAAATACTTTGAAATTATTTTCTGTGTCATCTCGGCCAGTGTGACTTGTATATTCATTATTATTCAGGAACCGTTCTTTATTTATTTATTTATTTATTTATTCTGGTTATTTTGTTCATATTATTAGGGATTTACCATGTTTTCGGAAGTCCCATAGAAAATAAGTCAATTGTAAATAAAAAATTAAATTTTCTATTATTATGAGTTTGTTAAAAGATTAAGTATGTCATAATGTTTTTATAAAAAGTTTTTCAGTCCAAAACTACATACAACGTCTTTTATTTGTTTATTCTTAAGACATTCAACAATATATTCGTTGGTTCATATCAAATCATTTCAAACAGTTCAATCTAACTTCCATATTTAGTGGCACAAGAATATGAATTTACTCTTGACACAAAACGTCCGTTTTTTTTCTCACTTTTTTTTTAAAAATAATAATAAAATAAACATAATTTTCAGACGACACTGCCTTGAGCCTCGTTTTCTGCGTTACAATCTAGTTTTCACCATGATTAATTGGCAATAAAAGTGTGCTTTATATTCATTAAATATCGATTAACTACTTTCTAGATAAAATCAAAACATTATCATCAGAAAATTTTCATGTCTTTATTATCATATAACGAGACAATCTTTTTCTAGATCAGCGGCATGCACGGCCGGGACAAGAAAACCATTTTTCCCTAGTTGTTTAACACTAAGCCTGCTGGCGGTTAAAGATTCTATCCATGTGACCAGTGCAGTCCAACAACATCCGGCATGATGGTCAGCACTGTTCACTATTCAATGAGAATTTCTTTTAATTTTCTCTTAAAATGATGGCTATGTTTTGATTTGAAAATATGACAAGCCATTCCACGTTTGATAAGGGATAAAATTGAGTTTGTATATTTCATAATTTCATCCTAAAACTTACTTTCCTATTTTCCCACCTAATATAAAAGCATAACTAGTTTATTATATACTTTATTTCTTTTTTCTCTTCTTGTTTTCTAATTAAAAATTTTACACATCAAATTAACCTATAAATATTCATTGTTTTTCTCCTCTCTTTATACCTACTCCGTTAGTGATGAAAAAGAACAACAACAATTACTATAAATCAATTATAAAAATATTTTTAAAAAATCCTCATTTTAAAATAAATATATTAAGAGAGAATATTGTTATTTATTCATTTTTCTCCGCGATTATTGAACAAGAAAAACAAAATTGGTGACTGTATAAAATATACTTTTTATATATAAAACATCAAATCTACCCATCCCTTCAATAGAAAACAAACGCTATTATATCAAACTTTCACAAATATCTTCCATACCACCGACTAATTATGTCAAAATTGTGTACACGACTCCACTTTCGTCTTAATCCGCATATCGGAGCCATACCGCTGTGGCTACCGGAGATTCATACTGTGCTCACACGAGATAACGTCACTCTCGCAGCACGTAAACCCCCCGACCAAAAAAAAAGAAACTCCAGCTAGATAAGTTTTCAATGAGAACAAATATATATTTACAAAAATATTATGTACGGAGTAAAAATTTAAATTTTCATGACGTTCAACGTAAGTGTGTGTATGTATATACAAGCATAGTATCTGTCAACTTTTTAAAACAATCAAGAAAGTTTAATTATCTACTTATCAGTGCATGTAACCTTACTAGTAAAATTCAAAAAATTTTCAATCAGTAATTTGTCAGATTTTATTTCCGATTAAAACAACAATACATTCAAAAGCAAAAATAATCGCGTGTGTGATTTCCCACTATCCTTAACAATATCGCTGGTGCTCCCACTTTTTCATTCTTGATGCCGAAAAAAGCTTCTAATGAACTTAAGTAATTAAAGAACAAATTTTGGTAATGAAATTATAATAACATGTCAGTAATTTCCATTTACATAAATGCAGTTGCGTTGATAATCGAACAGTTATTAATAATCGAACACACATTTTAATTAAGTTTCAATTTAAATTAATTTATCAATTTAATATTCACAGTAGCTTAACCACTCATATTTTATTCGGTAATACATTAGTCATTGCAGTAAATAAACAAACGGCTGTGTCTGGTGGACCGTTAATACGTATCATTTAGCAAAAAGGGAGCACGCGACTGTAAACTAAATTGACCGTTTTGTTCAACCGCAGAAAAAATATCGATCAGTGATTTAACGAAATGCTATCAATCAAAAATATCCGGATATACTTATTCAACATCATCTATTTTCAATAAATTCAAGAATACTCGATTATTAAAACTAAGTTCAAACAAGAATTCATAATTATTATTTATTTGGCATGTACCTTTATTTACAAATGAAATACAAAATTTATATTCCAATTTTCAAAAACAAACTATTTCTTTAATCACATATATACAAAATCTCCACTTGAAAAAGAAATAACTTTCCAATATAAACAAAAATACGGCAATTTACAGACATATTTTTATTATTTCAGAAAACAATCGCTCCGAACGTGGGCGGGACTCAGACGACAGGAGGCGGAGCTTCTGCGCCGTAGTAAATTAATTCTGAACCAATCGATGAAAGACGACTGCCCCGGGCTAATTAGCATCAGATAATGCTCTCTTCTCATTGGTTAATGGTAATAGATTGTGATTTACTGCATTTTCAAGCTTTTATAGAAAACAACAATCGTATCCTAAGAACAGTATCATTTCACGCCGTGTTGTATGATTTTGCATAAAAAATTGGAGGTACTTACGGACACAGTTGACTGAAGGGTTTACTAACTGTCTACTTCTGACTGTGTAACACGATTTTTAATTAATCTGGGCTTTAAATGTTAGTGTAAATCGAAGCGGAAACAAAACATATCTTGCGGTGACGTGAACGAGCAGAATAAGTCTATATTGTTTACATTTGAGGCGAGTAAAAAAGAACATTAACTGCATGATCGGACATAAACATTGATAACAGTGACTAAATTTTCCTATGTGGACTTGGAACGCTACATCCGGAATACTTTGGTGAAGATGCTACTGGACGGGAGCTCACCAGATATGCTAGCTCAACAATCCAAAGTGTTGTTCGAACTGAACAAATATTACAATGAACGAGTCGCCACCAGACAAAGTGGTGTTGTAAAAACAATTCGAGAGGTTTGCAAGGTTGTCCAGGACGTTCTAAAAGAGGTCGAAGTACAAGAACCAAGGTTTATAAGTAGTTTAAATGAAGTCAATGGACGATATGAAGGACTTGATGTTATTTCACCGTCAGAGTTTGAGGTCGTATTGTATCTTAACCAAATGGGAGTATTTAACTTTGTGGATGATGGAACGATACCCGGATGTGCAGTTTTAAAGCTAAGCGACGGACGAAAGCGTTCGATGTCATTGTGGGTCGAATTTATAACGGCGTCTGGGTACTTATCGGCTAGAAAAATTAGGTCAAGGTTTCAAACTTTGGTAGCACAGGCTGTTGACAAGTGTAGTTACCGCGACATGGTTAAAATGGTAGCGGATACGACCGAAGTAAAACTTCGAATCAAAGAACGTTACGTTGTTCAAATCACGCCGGCATTCCGTTGCGGTGGTATCTGGTCAAGAAGTGCGGCACACTGGCCTGTACCACACGTGCCATGGCCCAATCCAAACCTCGTTGCTGAAGTCAAAACTGAGGGCTTTGACCTTCTCTCGAAAGAAAGCATTTACATGAAAGATAAACAAAGTGCGGCGGAGGGGGACGCGTGGTCTATGTCTTTCAAGTACGCTGAGGACCGACTTTTGTACGGAGGGTGCCGTCGTAAATGTTTGAGCATTCTAAAAGCGTTGCGGGACAGACATTTCGACGTTCCTGGCCAGCCAATAGTAGCGTACCACCTAAAAACATTATTACTTTACGAATGTGAAAAACATCCACGCGAAATAGAATGGGACGATACGTGTTTAGGTGACAGAATCAACGGTATTTTGTTACAACTCATATCGTGTTTACAGAATCGCCGATGCCCACACTACTTCCTTCCTAACGTGGACCTTTTCAAGGGCAAGTCTACCACTGCCATGGACAATGCGGCTAAACAATGCTGGAGGGTGCTAAGAGAACTTCTCACAAATCCAAAAAGCTTAGAAAAATTATGAACACAGCTTATACTGTCATAATATAAAGTGAAGTGAAAGACTTAGGAACGATCCTATTTTAAAATTTCAAGACAAGGCGGTGTCTTTAAAGAAGTGCTAACAAAACAAAGAGAGGAAACTGTTCTGAATTTAAAGTGTCCAGCAATGGATATATATTTATTTGTTCTTTTTTTTCTCCTCGAACTTTGTATGATTCTTGTTTGGAAATTAATACCTTAGCTGTAAGTGATTTATTCTTAATATTTACACAGAACTGTTAACATTTCAAATGATGTTTTTTAAATATGGAGGTGTTTTAGACAGGCGGTTGGTTATATTGTCACTGAAAGAAGACTCACCAAAGATTTTGTTTTGTAATTATCATTACCTGTTTAAACGAGATAAGAATAAAACATGTATAACAGTTACTTGATATTTGAACATGAATTAAGATAGGGTTATTAATCATATGTATATTCCGCAAAATTTGATCATTTCTCAAATTTAATTAAATTTCAAATGTCCCATATCGCAACTTTTTTTTATTTTATTCAATAATCGTAGTCTATTTGAGTTGCATTTTTTTGGGCAATGAGGGCAACATCTTGCAATAAAACCGAAGAGAGAGAAAAAATGAATCCATTTCGGAATGCGTTTACAAAAACATACTGTAATTTACACACGGACTTTTAAAGATGTTTTAAAGTTTTAAAACCGTCAAAAAGCTGACATTTATAACGGAAAATAGGTAATGTCTTATAAAAGTTATGAACATTTGGTTTACATCAAAGTTTTACGTTTAAGTAAAAGTGTATATAAATAATTAGAAAATTACGTCGCAAACAACAAGCGGTGCGGGAGGGGGATACCATAAGAACATGTAATTCAGACAGGACAGAACAGTTTATGACATAATTGCTATTTATTACTCTTTTTAAAGGCCCCTATGTGCCATGTAGTGATGCATTTTAAGATTATAAATTGTTTTAACAGCTTTGGCATATCAACTTTCGTTACCAAAATTCTTTAAAACAACTAAAATATTTTCATTTCATATCTACTAAAGGTTAAAATTAGAAGAAACTAAATTTTAGGCGCCACATGAAAACATACTGCTTTTCTTTTATGAACTTGAATGGCGGTATAAAGAATTCCATAAAGAAGATTTTGTGGGTTTTCTTATTAATTTATTTTTAAACTTCCAAAATTTTCATTGAAACAAAATCACAAATTAAAAACAATACTTTCATTTATATTTCATTTAGTTTTTTTCAGAGAGCCACTATTCAAAATTCTGTGAAAGTTTTACAATAAAATTCTTTTAAGAATTTTAAAACAGGTGTGCACATTTTAGAATTTCAGTGAACTTTTTACTTGAATAATGCTATTCAAAATTTCACTGAATATTTGTTGTCTCTTATGTCACAGAATTTTAGTGAACCGTAATACTTGAAATATTTTGTTCCAAAATTTCAGTGAACAGTACACTTTCATATTTTCAATCAAGAATTTAAGAGAACATTTCACACCGAAACTGTTCTCATAAATTAATTAGAAATATTCCATTTCTTAAAATATATATATTTTCAATGTCCAGTCAGCATTAACACGTTTGATGATTCCAGGGTTTAAATTTTGTTTATATTATTTTCTGTGTTCTACTTATTAACAGTGTTCTGTCAGTATTTTTGATTATTATAATTATCATCATTATTCGCCTCGCTGTGCATGAGGGGAGAATTAAATATTGTATATTTATTATGACTGAATAAATCTATTGTTCACGTTGAAATAATTACAGCATTTGTGTATTATATGTTGAAAACCCCTTGAAAAGATGGGCCCATTTTGAAAGTGTACAAACTACATATCAAATCAAACCAAAGGTTTTCCTTTTTCAATGTATGCAAACTTTATATCCAAACAAACCAAAGATTCCCATCTTTAAAGTATGGAAACTAAATATCAAAACAAACCCAAACAAAGGTTCCCCTTTTCAAAGTGTGCAAACTCTATATCCAAACAAACCAAAGGTTACTATTTTCAAAGTATGCAAACTATATATCAAAACAAACCCAAGGGTTCACTTTTCAAAGTATGGAAACTATATATCCAAACAAACCCAAGGGTTCACTTTCAAAGTATGGAAACAAACCCAAAGGTTCCCCCTTTTCAAAGTATGGAAACTACATATCAAAACAAACCAAAGGTTCCCACTTTTAAAGTAACTGTATGCAAACTACATATCAAAACAAACCAAAGGTTGCCGTTTTCAAAGTAAGCAAACTACATATCAAAACAAACCAAAAGATTAATAAATGACCGAGGAAATAAAATACATAAATTTAATGTTGAAAAGTACACTAACTTCACGTGTGCTTTTGTTCAGAGCATTTTTGTGGTTAACATTCATACCAATCATATAACAGTTTTAACTTAACTGAAACCATTTTATAAGAGGTTCATAAGTAAACAATTTTACGACTTAAAATATTATCTTCTTCAACTTATATCAAATTGTAAAATGTTTCAATTTCATAATGTACTTACATAAATAATTATGATAAATTGAATATCAACTGGTCATTATTAATGCATCATATAGGCACCAACAAACACAACAAAGGGTAAATTCTTCAGAAATAACTTCAGAATGATAAAAACCACAGAAATTCCAAAAAGTCACAAACGATTTACCTAATTCGAAGTTGTATTTGATATCAATATTTTTTAATACCTATATGAACTGTTCTTTCTTTCAGAATTGATTAATTATTACATACCTCTAAAAAATATGTTTTACTATTTTTCCTTTGGTCAAAATATCACAGAAATGATTTTATTCAATTAGACGAAAGTATTTCAAGGAAATACAAGGAAAGGACCTTAAAGTGACATAAATTAATGCACAGAAAGAACTTAATTTACACACATTGTATCTTAATTAATACACAGAAAGAACAGGAAGGACTCTAATTAATACATAGAAAGACCCTAAAGTGGCCTTAAATTAATACACAGAAAGAAAATAAAGGACTCTAATGAATGCAAAGAAAGGGCCTAAAGTGTAACTAAATTAATACACAGAAAGAAAATAAAGGACTGTAATAATTAATACATAGAATTAAAGGACCTAAAGGGACTAAATTAATTTACAGAAAGAAAATAAAAGACTCTAATTAATACACAGAAAGGACCTAAAGTGACCAAAATTAATACACAGAAAGAAAATAAAGGACTCTAATTAATACACAGAAAGGACATAAAGTGACTAAATTAATACACAGAAAGAAAATAAAGGACTCTAATTGATACACAGAAAGGACCTAAAGTAACTAAATTAATACACAGAAAGAAAATAAAGGACTCTAATTAATACAAAGTAAGGGTCTAAAGAAACTACATTATTACATAGAAAGAAAATAAAGGGCTGTTAATTAATACACAGAAAGGACCTAAAAGGCATAAATTATTAACAGAAAGAAAGTAAAGCACTCTGATTAATAGAAGAAGGACCTAAAGTAATTATATTAATATACAGAAAGAAAAGGAAGGTCCTTTTAATATACACAGAAATGACCTTAACAAATACTCAGAGTAGACCTGCGTTCATTTTCATTTACCATTTAATTAATCGATTTTTGCAGAGACATAGATAACTATCTATGTCTATGATTTTTGTTTATATTTTTAAATGAAATAACGCAACATTGAAATTATTGCATATATACATGGCCAACAAGAAAATTCACCTAATTTATAATAGCAAAATGGCAGTTTCAGTTCAATATAAATTGAATTATGCCTACATTGCAATATTTTACAACATAATCAATTTCACAATAAATATCCATTTATCATGTTAACCTATCATAATCAGTAATATACCCAACAAAACTTAAATACTTATATTTTTTAACTAATAAATAAATATTAAAGCAAAACTAATGAGACCTGTCAGGGTCAACAAAACATTTATTTGTCATAGCAAAGTCAAATATAACACATTAAGGCAGCTTTCAAATTCTAATTAGATCTTTTATTCACACATCTCCCATTTTTACATTTAAAAAAAATATATCATTTTTCATCTACAACAAATCTATATTATGTTTTTCTTCTTCTTCCAAACTCACATCATATTCAAAACACCGTGTGTGGCGAATAAATTATATATCGGCGCATATTTAAGAATGCGAGTATAATTTCGCGGACTGTTAGAGCTCTGATAAATGGATAAAATTCATATTTTACACATGCTTTCCTCAAGACATCTTTGGGAGATGGGGGGAGGAAAAAAATGATCGTAAAACTTAAAATTTTACTACATGCGTACATAATTCCATACGGATCTGTTAATCGTAGATAGGCATCAAACCGCTAAGTTGCTAACTAGTTTCGGAGATTGCGAGACCCCGTAACTGTCAATCAAGGGTGGCATATATTCATACGTTACAAGGCTCTTTTTAAATTATCAGTACACAAACCTCGGATATGAAAGGTATATCTACGGGTAATAAATCGTCCCGTTATGACAGGAGAATGAAAACGGAGAAACATGTATGAAAATAACCCCATGGATATTAGGTACAGTAGTCGAGACCTGAACATTAAAATCAGTCACAAGATTGCCTGTACAAAACCAGACACACTATATACTTATTATAATTATGTCTCTGACAAAACTTATAGAACATTTTGATATAACCCTCTACGCTAGATATCTAAACTGGACTTGCCAATCTTTCAATCTGGACATTAATGAGGTTTCCGAATAAGTACAGTCTGAATAGCGAACAGTGCAGACCATGACCACGGCTGATTCTGGTCGGCACTGGTCACAAAAAGTAGATTTAGTAGCCACATGCATGCTACATTATAAATATTACATGAATATATCACAAATTATTTCTTACAAGGTCCTAAAATGCCAGCATACCGCACTCTCGAAAAACATATACATGTATAACGTGAATTTATACCATTTTGGACACAAACGTTATACACGCAAGATATGTTTTCATAAAATTAAACTTTGAAAAGAGAGACTTTATCAAACCGTTGAAGAAAATGGCACAGTATTTTTCAAATTGCTTGGAATAAAGTTATTTCAATCAGTCAAGAATAACGTCTCGTGTAGAAGAACTTCATGGAAAGGGAATTCAACATTATGCCGCATGGCAATTTATTTATCTATTTTCTATTTTATTATTATTGACATTATAATTATCATTATTTTGTTAAAGTTCATATTAATCAAATAGAATTCCGATAACTGAATATATGTGAATAGTTGCAGAGGGGTTATATTCCGTTGGAGAATTTCAGATTTTATTTTAGACAACAAAATAGTATTTCATACAGAAAGACTATGATCAAGTTTATACGATATTTTACTTAATCTGAGTTTGCACTAATGCACCACAGTTCGATCTGCATTTGAGGAACAAAATACATTAAACATTACTGAAGATAAAAAATATGATTCTCTTACTTTCTCTTTACCTGCATGCTTTTTAGCGGAAATAAAAGAATTTCTTCAGTTTATTTTTTGTTATTATGAAACAGAACGGAACACCATTTCATTATTGCTTGTAAATTGAACATCACAAATTTACATACAATATAGTGGATTGTTATTATTTATTTTTAATATTATAATGCATTAAATCAGTAATAATGTACACCGATTTTAAGTTATGTTTTATGTACGATCATTTCGCGTTTTACTTTCGTTTCTCTTTATATATATTCATGAAATTATTAAACTTTTTCGTACTTCTCAGTGAGACATTTTCTATATCCAAACCAAAACAATAATAATAACAATAAAAATAATAATAATAATAATAATAATAATAATAATAATAATAAAACATGTAAAAGTAATAATGAAAATTAATAAGTGTCATAAAACTGAATTTGAAATTCAATTTTGCTGGCTCAGCAAATGCAAACATTTTTTATTCATTTCTTCTACCGAGATAATAAAAAAAAATCTTACAAGCATTAAGCTTAAACAAAAACAAAACCAAACGTCTTTAAACTTAAAAGTTTGTTACAAATTTAATTACTTTCTCTATCCGTCACTATAGACTTTAAAGATTTACTTTTAAATCTACTTTTATTCGCTAAATAATCAGAAATCACCCATTAGAATTCGATCCATTTTCTACAGTTCCCTGATTTATGGCTATGCACAAAAGCAAACTGCAAGCTCATAAGTCATGATCAATCTCCGGCAAGCCAAAACAAAAAATATGTTTGACTTTGTCTTTTGAAAGAAAAATAAAATAATTAAAATACAAAACAATCAAGATGTTTTGAAACAATTTTCATCATCTTTTTATCTCGCTTTTTCTCTGCACATACGTGATTGATAAGGTAGAAAGAAAAAAACTTGTACATTCGTAGGAAATTTCAAATACGATTTTGTCAAAATGCATCATTTTGAAATGTTACTTGTGTTACTCATTTGCTTTGTACGCCAATTTGGACAGAGGATTTTAAAAAAGAATCATCAACATTTAAATTACGCATTTTTGCGGATCGTTTCATTTGAAATGAAACAAACAAACAAATCATTTTCACAATTGATAGCCATGCAGGTCATTGCAAGGGAGGTAATCCTGATGTACAAGAATAACCCGAGTTATCGTTATAAAAAAATCGGTGCTATCATAAGAACGATCTCAGCAATTTGATGTCCTAATTACCTGCACCAATTTTCTAGAAAAAAGTAAATTATCTTGTCTGACCTTTTTGACAATTATATGCAACATCTTGACAAATTTCG